CACTCCCCGTCCGCGCCCAATGCCTGCATACAAAGCTGATCGATTATCTCTTAAAAATTCGTGTTGTGCGTGTGTCTGTGCAAATTCAAGAATGATCTGTGAGGCAAAGAGAGTGCCCGAAGCCGGAAACTGCTCCTGCCCGAGCAATCGACAGCAGGGGCCGGAGTTTCAGCTCAGGCCCGACCGCAGGCGCTGCCCGAGAGAGGGATTCGCCCAGGGTGGCGGCGCTGTCCTGCCGGGTCCTGCTCCGGGAGCCCAAGGGGCGATGAGAGCCTGCCTGCGTGGGCACCGAGCCAAGGGCCGACAAGTCGCCAGAGGTGCCTGAGCATCCTCGGGGCCGGGCTGCCCTGGGCCGCCAGCGACCTTCAGGCTCCTCACTCCACTTCTTTGAACCTGAGTTTCCTTACGCGTGAAATGAGAAAGTCGAGATAGACATTCTGGGAAATGGCTTCTTGGTATCACATTGTATGAGTTTAGTGAGGGGAAAAAAAGGACCTGCATTCAACAGCTTGTTCCCGGGCCATGCCCCCGAGGCTTTGCTCGGCCGAGCAGGTGGGAGGGTGCCCGGCAGCAGCACCCTGCCTGGGTCTGGGTGCACAGGCGGCGCTGAGAAGGCTCTGGGTCCGCCTCCCGCCGCTCCGCTTTTGTTACTAAGTTGCCTTGGTAGGCTATCCGAGCTTAGGCTCTCTTACACCTGTTTCCTCAGCTGTCTTGTGGAGACAGTAACAATAGCATGCGAGTCTTAAGATTGTTGTGGGGATTAGACACAGTTTTGCATTTGGATGGTTCGGTGCTGTGGCCGGCAGCAGGAGCTCGCTGTCATCACTAAGTGCATTAAGTTAGAGCAGAAGGCCAAGGTGACCGTGGGATGCGTCCAGGAGAAGTGGCATTCCAGCAGTGGAAGATTTGTTCCTAAAAACCCTTCCCCCCGACCTGGCCCAAGAGTAAAGAATTCACCTAGTCATAGACTCCACGGCTCTGTGAGCTCCTGAAGGACTACACCTTTTTCATCTCGGGGTACTTTGCTCATAGTACATGGTCAATACATATGAATTGAATTAAAACAAGAACATGCAAAAATCCCTCCCTTGTCTAGAATCTTTGCCACTTGACCAGCTCCGCGAGCAGACAACATGCCTGATTGAATTTGCTGCCTGTCATAAATAAGCTTTCTGTCTGGTTTCTGGTTATGCTCTAGTACAGAGATCAGCCTTATTCAAGTCTCCTGCCATCTCAGAGGAGTAGGTTATAGTCTTCAATTTACAGTGGAGAAAACAGAAACTCAGCAAGGGAATTTCAGAGGCTCTCCCAGCACAGTGCCTGGCATGAAATGGAAGCAGCAGGGTTCATGTTAGTTGTCATTTCTTTTAAATTGTTATTTGAATCCTCCATTAGAATAGTTTTCAAAATAATTGAGGTTCCATCAATGAATTTAAATTGTTAGCTTATTATTATTTTGACTGCCAAATCAAATACTAAATGTACATAGATAATTTGAATTTGGAGAGAAGATAACGCATAATTCAAATTTTATGGTGGATAATGGATGATATACTGGGGCTTATAAATTACTAGCTCCCTTGGGGAAAACACTAAAGTACTATTGTGGTATGATTAATATCAGAAGAATGTAGTTTTTCTAAAAAAACAAAAACAAAATAAAAAACCCCACCACTAACATATCCCCCCCAAATCTCCAATCTGAGGCTTAACAAAAACACACACTATACAGCTTTTCCATACTCCCATAGCCTGCCTTTGTGTCGCCCCCAATATGTGACGGGGGGCTGACTCCATTGCTACAGCAAACCTGTTTTCATTTCCGTGATCTTCCTTTCTTTACATAGCTTTCCTGGTGACCCCATCAAGACACGGTTGGCACTACTTGTTGCCCCAAACCAAAGCCTTCGATCAGGTGCAGTATCCCCAGAGGGCTCCTTGTGCCTTGCTGTCCTTGGCTCCTCAAGTCCGGAAGGACATGGTAAGTTGGTATTGGGTCTTATCTCCACTCTCTGTGTGTTGAATTCCTTGGCTATTTATTCTCAGTTTGGTACTTAGGTTTTATTACTGATTCCCATTTGTTCGGCATCTTTGATGGAACCAGACCATTCCTTGCGTGCTCTTTGCTGTCTTCTTTGTTGCTGTTTTGTGTGTTGTCTGAAAGTGCTGTTTGTCATTAGAAGGAGAATCATAGGGTAGAACACAGGCACAGACGCCAGAACACTGTTGCTGGAGCCGGCCTCACACACCTTGTGAGTTTGGGGTTCTCACCAGGCCAGCGTCCACTAGGACAAACTTTGCTGTGGAGTCACCAGTGAAACCGGACAAGGTTCTTCCACCTGGATTTTGTGTCTGAGAGGTGTTCAAGCATTATATTCCCACTCACTGTTCCAGTTCTCATGGTGTTGTCTAAGGAAAACTCCTCCTCCAGGAAAACCTGCTTCTTATTTACGCTCTTTACAATCCCAATTTTTGCACCTATTTCTCCGAATGGCATAACTTCACTGAGAATTTTTGGGACTTCAGTAACCACTTTAAGGACCATTCAACTTGAACAGGTTGTTCATTTGAGAGAGACATTAGAAAAGAAAGGGAAAAAGATTCCTCAGACCCAGTGGCAGCACTTTTGATTGATATTCAAAGGGCTCCAAAGAACATTCTGATTCAAAAATTGTTTGACTAAAAGGTTCTTTGGCCAAAGCTAACTTGACATACTTAAGTAACAACAAACTTATGCTCCTAGGAAAACACCCCTCTGCTTGTCCTCCAGTTGCCTTCCTATAGACCCGGCTCTCTCTCTTCCCCTCAGTCTTCTGAGCTCTTTCCTACCACACCTCTATCCACTCCTCCCTCCTCTTTCCCTTGTCCTGACCCCTTACCTTTCCACAAGAATTCTCCTAAGAGCCCAAATTCCATGTGCCTCTGAAGGTCCTTTCCTCTTATGAACCAGGTATGTAGGCAACCGTAGAATTTAAACCTTGGATTCAAACTGAATTAAGAGCTGCAATTATGGATTTTCTCAAACCCAGACAAGACCAGCCAACTATTCATATAATTATTTAGAACATTTTGGAATGTATGTGACCCAGGATTATCTGACCTACATCGACTTGTACATATGTTGATTAAAACTGCAGGTGCTAAATCCTGAATGGAAAGACTTACCTAAAAAGGGACATACAGAATCCTTCTTTCCACAATAAAGGAGAAAGTCCATAAAAAGGTTTAAAATGTTGGGTGAAGTCTTCTACAAGCCATACCTAAAACATTTGCAATAAAAACAGATGAATCATAATGCAAACAGAGAAAAGATGAATCTACAGAAGACTCTGGGATAGGCTAGAAAACACATTGTGTCAACTGATGGTAGTTGCCACCAATTCAGTGCCAACAAGAATTCCCAATTTGGGGGTGCAGCAAGGAAGGAAACTTTATTCAGTGCAAAACAGCTCAACCGTTACACAGCAAGGCTGTGAAAATAGCACAGCTGTGAGGCAGCCCTGGGGCCAGGTGGTCTTGGGACCAGGCCTCTCTCTGGCTAGACAGCTCTGCTCTGGGCCTTGCATGTCTCTTTGGCACTGTGCTGTTCTGCTCCGTGGGCTCTGAGGAGACATCTCTGATGCTTCAGCTCAACGAGGGAAACAGTCTTCTGTGGAAAGGAAGAGTGCACTCCCAGAGCCACAGGGGAGCTGGTTTATGTAGCCAGAAGTCCGGGGCCTTGCTCCTGGATTCACCTGTCCTCATGCAAATGAGGACGCCAAATCCTCAAAGTTTGATGGTCCCAAAAGACACTTTTCTAATTGGTCAGAATGGAGCTTCTCTGATTGGCTGGTGAAGATGTGGATTGGGCGGGGAGGGATATAGCTGCCCAGCTCTGATTGGATGGGGACAGCCTCAGTCCTATTGGTTGACATAGGATTCCAGGAGCTCCTTCATAAGCCGGCTCAGATGGCAGGATCACAGCGCAGGCAGGCAAGTCAGTGCAGA